GAAACAACCCTAATTGACCTACATCCGGTCCTTTTTGGCTCACTTGTAACATCTCTGGTTGTTAAGCTGGGTGTTACGAGATCAAATCCTCTAGAAAGCATCAGTTCCTTCAAGATTACAGGTACACTTTGCTGACGAGTATCGAATGGCACGAAACCTAGGTCTAGCATGGTTGTTTCCTAACGATTACCTACAATCACCACTTAACATCTCAACATAGTGTACGTGATACCTAGTCACCTAGATTTGTATTCATATTGTAACTTGGTCGATAGGATTCGATCAGCACTAAGAAAGACCTGACACACACATCACATTAGTCAATACCTAATTTTCTTTATCTCAGATCTACAATTCTGTTTGTAGCCAAGTGTCCTAGACTTGACCAGTTTTACACTCTTGATTGTCACAGTATCAAGTTATTTTTAATGTATTCTGATTTTAGATAATCGATCAAACTGTTATTAATGTATATTTTGAAACTTTTTTTATTTGATTGCCACTATATTTTTGCTCAACCATTTTGATATTCACTGGTACACAGTAATTTTTTGAATAGATATCAAACAAAGCATTTCGATGTGATTGATTTTCTTCTCACTTAAAGATATGAAATGAACTCGGTCAAATGCGCTTATTAATGGTCTGATAAATCTACTTATAATTTATAAAATGTGGTTTGAATATCTAACTAAAAATTTACCAATTACAAATTCAAATGTGAAGTAGATGAAAGTTCGTAGTGTAATGAACGAGAACACAGGTGGGGGCAACCGAATTGTATTTAACGAAAATTACAGAGTTACTCAGTAAAATAGGAAATCCATATCGTAAATCGTTCATTTGCAAAATATCAGTTGATCATATCGAACTGGACTGTTCCTGTTGCAAAACATCAATCCATTGTCACTAATCATGCATTTCATACAAATTCCATTGTGTTCTAACTCTTCCTTTCTTGATCTTCCCCCATCTTCTGCTGCCAGACATTACGTTGACGCTCACGTCATATACTACTTATAAGTAGCTCGCACCACAGTAGGAAATCGTGAACTTGCGTTACATGTCACATGGAACTCATTAGCGAGGTGTATTTGCAGTTGAAAAAGAACTGATGATCTCTGTTTATTGTAATCTGTATCATCCAGAACTTTTTATTCAACGACTTCATCTCTTAGCTATTTAGGCTTCAACTAAACTTCCGCAGAACTGTGAGATGTTTACACTAACTAAATTGTGCATGTCAAGCTTCTTTAGTTCTAATGTATACATTAGTTTGTTAGGCTTTGAATAGGTAGCTGGATTGTTCAGGATTCAATGTTCTAATTGCTGAACTATTTCATCAACTCAGTTATCTGTTTACAATCCAAGTAGATTGTTGACTGTACTGTTACCTGTCACTGTCTACACCTTCATTTTGATTGTATCCCCCTTTGATCTATTTCTTGATCCTATGTTTGCCTATGATTTTTCTGATTGGTTGATAAATTGGATCGATGTCGATGTGTTTGTTGATTGGTGATTGATATGAGTGCCAAGCTTCTAGAAATGTGCTGATGTTCCTAATATTTACTCCATCCAGTATTTTAACATTGTTCCAATCAAATGTATATCCGCAGTTGTCCACATGTGTTGATATATGAGAGAAAATGTGTCATAACATTTGACCGTTAAATTGATGTTCACTTGGCGAAAGCTGAGGAGGATGTCCATTTTGTTCGATGTGGTGTTTTTCTCAAATTGAAAAATTTAGTTTGTAGATGATGTTTCGTCTTTCTTCTTTTATCGTTTTGTCCTTTGATTTACATGGGATTGATTGAAGTAATTTTGTTGGTTTATGTGCTACACCTATTTCAAATGGCTGCTGTTATCTCATTGCTGTTTCCGGGATGTCTTTTTATGTATGATAGGATGTTTCGTTTGTTGGTCTATGTATTTGACTTCATTTCTTCTGATGAGTTAGGTTGATATTTTTTTGGGGGGAGATTGTGCGGTTAACTATTGTTTAGATATTTTCTCCATCTTACCTGCATATGTGCCGAAGCGTATACTTGCCCTATTTTTCTGGTCATTCAGTTACTTTTCAGTATGTTTTGTCGGTTTTTTCCTCTCTAATATACTATTAATTTCTGGTTTTTGAACATTAACGGTTTTATACTACATTTTAGCAACAGATAAAATTAATCAAGCCAAATAGCTTATTTGTTGTTACTCTGGCTACGCTGTCATTGTGTGTTCGATTTTCTCGATAGGTGGCTTAGAATTTCATCCATAGGTAATTACTTCCTACAGAGAATTTGATCTGTATTACGGGGTTGTGAAGATTGTTAAGTTACACATTTTTTGGAACCATGAATCGATCAATGTTAGACCACCATTAGAAACCTGGAAGCACTGGACGGCCGTTTCGTCCTGGTATAGGACTCCTCAGCAGCGCGCATCCATGACTCCTGCACCTCGCAGGATTCGAACCCGGGACCCTCATTATTGTGCGCGAACGCCCTAACCGTTAGACCACTAAGCCGGTACCTAGCGCTGTTAATGTCTAACTTGATCAAATTCACGGAGTTGCGCAACCTCATACGCAGTCTTCGGTAGACACTGCCTACACCCGAACAGGTTGAACTTTACTGGTCACACCTCCCTGGCTCAGTGGTCTAACGGTTAGGGCGTTCGCGCATAATACTGAAGGTCCCGGGTTCGAACCCTGCGGGGTGCAGGGGTCGTGGATGCACACTGCTGAGGAGTCCTATACCAGGACGAAACGGCCGTCCAGAGCTTTCAGGTTTCTAATGGTGGTCTAACATTGATCGATTCATGGTTTCAAAAAATGTGTAGCTTGATCTGTGTAGGTTTGTTTCGCACAATACTTGACTCTCCACTTTTCTTGTGTTAGCTCAAGTGATTTATGCATCCAGGAATGATAGTTTGTTGTTCAACCCCTTTTCCATTATGAAGTTTTTGCTTCAGATTGTCGATGTTTTCGATCTCATCCTTTTTCATAATAACAAAAAAGTGGAACAACGACTAATCACAATAAAATCAGTTATTTAATTGATCAATATCTAATCGAACTTTCCGATTTCTGGAAAAATATTCACTCACTATTGTTAGACAGTGTTGGCCAGTGGCCTATGCTCCACTAAGGGTAACTGGAATAAGTAAGTAATTGTACATACATATACAGTTACTTACTTACGCCTATTACCCCCAATGGAGCATAAGCCAGCGACCAGCATATTCCAATCTAGTCTGCATATTTATCTCTTATCAGTATGTCATAATACAAGACGGATTTCTTTTTGATGACAATGAATTTTAGGACCATATGCTAACGAGTATGAACGATATCCTTCACTTGAATTTCAAAAACAATGGATTCATACTTATTTAACAACATTTTATAAAAATTCTCAATTACAATTAAATCTTAATCATGAAAATTTACAATTGAATGATGTATACACAGAAGATGATTTGAATAAATGGCTTCAAGAAGTGAATTGTTTCGCTTTAGTAAGTTAAATTGACATGAATTGTGTAATGTGTTATTATGTTTCAAATTTAAATGCACCTCATGAAATGATCAAAAATAAATGATTTGATTTCTGTCTTTAATGTTGGTTCAAATGTGTTCACAGCAATGGTTATTTTAATTATTTTTTAGAAATCATGAATCGATCAATGGTAGATCCTCATTGGAAACTTGAGAGCACTGTATAGCTGTTTTATCCTGGTATGGAACTCATCAGAAGTGCTCATTCAAGACACTCACCAGCAATCAAACTCAGGACCTTCAGTCTTGTGCGTCAATGCTTACACTCGAGATCACTTATTCGATATTCAACAGCAGTAATGTCTAACTACAATCAATCATCTATCTACATTTTCTGACCCCTCATCCGCCGTTTTCGGCACCACACCTGAAAGGATTGAGCCTCATCATTCTGACGGAAACTCACAAAATTTCTTCACGAAACTAACTACTAGTGCGCACATGTTCATTTTCACTATAGAGTAGTAGAGATTAGATGATGTCGCATAATATCGTGTATTGATTAAAGTTAGACATAAACACTGCTGGATGCCGATTAAGTGTTTACGCACAAAACAAAGGTCCTGAGTTCAAGTCCTGTGTACGCGGGTGGTGGATGCGCATCGCTGACAAGTTACATACTAGGATGGAACGGATATCCAGTACTTCCATGCTTCTAGTTGTTTGATTGATTCATGATTTCACTGAAACTCAACAGTCTCCACAAACTTATAATGGAAGTACTTTAATTAAGTCAATACTTTAATCTTTATATCTGTGACAGAAACCTCTGAGATGAACTGATACAAGTACTGGTCAATGATAAGTGCAAAACAACACTAAACTTATGTTCAGGGTGTCTCCTGTCTAAACATCTACAACTACTCAAAGTTTCGGAGATTTTGTGTTTTGATGAGATCTGTCCAAGATCTAAAAGCCATGAATTCTAAATCCCCAAAAGCGGCTGCTTGAATGAGAAGGCAAAGAGCAGATAGGCGAAGGTCTACTTACTTACCGAATTATGAGAAAAAATGCTCGCCTACATAAATAAATGTATTGACTTCTTTAGAAAAGAAAACCATTTCTTAACCATTGATATGCATCAGTCCTTTAAGGTATGTTATGATGATCATCCATCCATCCTTCTCATTAGGTCACTTTTGAATGGATCAATACATCATTTTGTCTTCAATAATTTATTCAAGATAAGATCGATAATCAGTCAAGTAAATTATCAATGATTTAATCATAATTTAAAATGTTTACAAATTATGGAAGTAATCTATGATTTAGAACGACAGCAATTATGATGTTAAATAAACTTTTTCAGCTAAGTCACTTCGCATCATCACTAGTTAATCTCATCACGTTGTGGTGAAATACTCTTTTGTTCATATCATTTCAGGTATCCCATTTACTTTGGGCTGTTTGGGCAGTAATTTGTGCTTCGGAAAACTTATATTCTATGGATTTTTTAGCGTAAGTTATTCGTGTAAATGTTGGTACTTGTTATTATTATTATTATTATTATTATTATTATTATTATTATTATTTCGTTTTGGAATAATTTACAAAGTTATTTTTTATCTTTCGAAATATCGACTGACTTTAACCAAACAAGCGTTGGAAACCAGAAAGTATTTGAGAGCTGCTTCGTTCTATAATGAGAATCCTTAACGGCAGATATCAATGATCTGACAAAGGATCATCAAACTCGGAGCTCTGAAGCCTCAGGATGAAGACTTTTCCTTAAAATTTCTTTGTTGACATCCGATAGTTTGCACTTCCAAGTTCAATCAAACTCGCTTGCTTGTTATATTTAAGAAAAATGAGTATATTTTTAAGAGATGCTAAGATAACCAATGTTTACCATTGAACACGTAATTTCATGTACATCATTCAATATCTAAACCTTTTATCCATCCTTTCATCTTGATTCATTGAGTCAGTAAGAAAGGGAATCACCAATACTTAAAACCTTTGGAAGTGATTATCTCTAAATTTTCAAACAGGAAATTTACACTTAATAACATGAATCAAAGCAGTAGCTAAGATCTATATAGATCAATGTCATATCTTGGTCTGTTGAGGGAGACGGCATTGGCCCCTTTTGTAACGCCTATCTTAACTCCGAACTCAGCTGGTTAAAATTTATAATCTGATGAGTTGTCTTGCTTTCTCTACTCAATAACATACTTTAAGCCTTAACACTTCTTGTTCTATGCTCCCATGATATGTGGACTATGTTTTGAAGACGTCTGTAATCAAACACTTTTAATCTTCATGTGTCTTCTAATTCCACAGGCAGTGGTCTATAGACACCGAGTGAAACAAAGTGGAATGCTAGACAGTGTACTTACTCCTCTTAATAGTTATTTGTTGATTACTAACTTTTTGAGAGAAACATCAATGTTGTTGTCACTGAATCAATACTAATGAGATTACTTTTTCAATAATCTCACATCCAGTGTTTACACTAAACAACTGCTGTATCAATATGTAATGAGAAGCACGGTGCCGATATCTGAAGGCCTGAAGTTCTAAACCTCCCAAAATTGTCTGTTTGAACGAGATCTATTTCACCACTGTATAATGCGAATAAATATTCCTGTGTATATATGTATTCGCAGAAGGCTCGACTGGCTTTCGCCAACTTGCGTCACTTATGGCATAGGTGAGATATCCGTCTACCAAACAAAGGATGAGATCACTACGCAGTAGTCCGCTCCGTCCTACCATACGAGTGTGAAACATGGCCACTAAGAAGCGAGGATATTCTTAAGCTACTAGTATTAAGTCGTAGGTGAATCCAAATTATCGCTAGAATATTTTGAGACAACCGAGTAAGCAATGCTGGTGTTAGGGAAAGATTACTATTTAGGGATGGCAGATCAATTAATGAAATATTGAAAATTCATCAGTTGAGATAGCCTGGACATGCATTACGAATGCCTGGCTACCGACTGCCACGACGAGCTATGTTGTCTGATGTAGGGATAGACTGGAAGGGGTTAGGGGCCGTCAAACTAAAACAACACAAATCCATGAAGTCACTGACAACTAGACTGAGCCATATTGGTTGGTTTAGACTACCTGGTTGGAGTCCACGAGACTATGGTAAAGGATGGTTAGAGACTTGTAATCATTTTCAGTGGCGTAGATGCTTCTATTCTTTGTCTTCTCTCACGACCTCATGAGCTCAAGACCTTTTTTTATCTCTTTTTAAATTTATTCCACTGGATAATACTTCTCGAATAATTTCTTCGAACTCTAATCTCTCTGTTACTGCTAACACTTTTAATTGACAATTCGAACTCTGTGTGTGCAGCGGTATGGCAACCTGAAATGATGTACGTACGTACGATGTTCTTAGTTGCAGCTGACTGACTGATTCATTTCCTTACAAAAGAAAGCCATTTCTTAACCAATGATATGCATTCGTCTTTTAGGTCATTTTCTGTTTATTATCTAATGTCTTTCTCATTAGGTCACTTCTGATGAGTCCAATCTATCAGAACACATCATAAGGTTTTAAAAGCTGAAACATCCTTTATTTCTTCCGCATAAATTAAACTAGATCCGGTAAGAAAAGAAGTCACCGTCATAGTTTACTGTTCAACTACTCATTTTTATCAGTAATATCCATCGTTTCAGTGAACATATTTACAAACAATATATATTATTACTTGAGTACAGAATAAAAGAGTAGTCAACGTGAAGAGAATAAGTCGACTTATATTATTGATAAGTAGTGCAAAGTAATTTCCAACACAATACACTGATTTTTTTCAAACGTATTTTTATAAGTCAATTTCTATTTGAAAAGACTACAGAATGTCAATTTTATTTGGAAGCGAGAGAGTTCCAATACATAGGTGAGCAAACTAAAAATAACGATAGTGATAACTGAATTCCGTTGACACTCAGCAAAAAAAAATTGACAAGAAATGTGCACGATTTTCAATCATTTCTAATTGGAGTTACATAATGAGCATGAAAGAATGCATCAAAAAACGTTTTGTCTGAATTTTCATTGCTAATTATTCAATGTCAATTATAAGATTTGATGAAATTAACGCTAGAATTTGTTATTTTCTTTAGTGTATTCAGCACTCAGGAGTATGCTACTAAATATTGTAACTGTTGAACAAGTACCATATTTCTCATCGGATTTGTAATGCATTAACTATAATTCTTATCATGATGTCATTTGTAGTATGTGTGCTTCTTTGTCGAGCATACAGGGCTTGCATCAACCTTTGGACAAATTAAATAATCCATTCTTCTCGGGTTACTCACACGTCTTCCAACCTTGTCTGTTAGTCACTCGAACCCTTGGTAGCTTTTATCCGAGTATGTGATGCAGCTTGCTTCGCTTATTACATGTCTAACTTATTTTACTTACTTACTTACTTACTTACTTACTTACTTACTTACTTACTTACTTACGCCTGTTACCCCCAATGGAGCATAGGCCGCCCACCAGTTTTCTCCAACCAACTCTGTTCTTGGCTTCCCTCTCCAGTTCTGTCCAATGTTTGTTCATTCCTCTCATATCTTTCTCTATTTCTCGGCGTATTGTGTTCCTTGGCCTTCCTCTTTTCCTTTACAAACGTTCCATGTACCTAAACAAATGGTTGCTCTGGTTGTCAGAAGAGCCATCGGCCACATGACTTCCGAGGGAACTCGGCTTTCATCACGCGACGTCATAATTCTTCTTACAACTTCCAGGGCAGAGTTAAAATGGTTTGAATTATTTTTTCTGGTTAGCGTTTTTTTGGCAAGTTAGATTTCGACGGAATGGGGTCTCCAACCCCATGTCCAACCCTCCTCCTTTATCCGGGCTTGGGACCGGCAGTAGCCCCTAAGGTTCTACTGGCGGAGTTCTCTAACTTATTTTGCCTGACTATAAACACTTAGCCATGCTTCATCGCATTGAGTTGGCGCGCCCGGCCTATCTACTTCGCTTCACTTTGCCTTGACACTTTGTATTTTCATATCTGTTTGCATGAGCGTTTGCTTGAAATAAACTCATCCATGTGAATTCGTATTTGGCTGTTTATTACAGCCATCGCACAGATTGGGTTCATCTAAGTATGATAAAAGGAAACTAAAGGGGAAATTTATTTCAATAAAATATTGAATTTTTCATAAATATCGGAATGAGATCTTGGGCCACTACAATAGTGTGTCGTACATTGAGTTCAACGCTGCCACTAAGAACTTTAGTTTAAATGCTAAGAATTATCAACGGACGAAACTTAAGTAGTTACTTTCAAGCTACCAAACTGACAAACATTGACCGAATTTCCTTATTTGTTTTGTCATTGGACGCTTAGACTTTGACTTACTGCCTTCGTTCATGCAGACAGACACAAGAATATAAGGTGTAAAAGGCTAAACAAAGTGAAGTGGAGAAGGCGAGTGAGCGAACCCAATTTCATTGAGGCGTAACTAAGCATACTTGTAGTCAAATAAAATAGGCTAGACATGTAAGAAGCGAAGTAAACATGCACACACATACAAGAATAAAATCGACCAAGATATATGAGCGAATAATTGACAAGGTCGAAAGACGTATGAATAACTGGAAGAGAATGGATTAATTAAATTTTCCAAAGGCTGAAACAAGCTCTGTGGGGTCAACAAATTAGTACACACTGCAACACATACTAGAAAACATTAGTAAAGTAGTTTTTTTTAATTAGAGTTATGGTGAGCATAGTGTTTTCACACATTGAAATCATCAATCAATCATCGCCAGACCAGCATTAGAAACCTGGAAGCACTAGACGGCTGTTTTGTCCTTGTACGGGACTCATCAGCGGTGCGCGTTCACGACTTCTGCACCTGTCAGGATTTGAATCCAGGACCTTCGGTCTTGCGCGTGAACTCCTAACCTCTGGACCTTTGGGCTGGCATCCGACGGCGTCAATGTCTAACTCTGATAACTTAAATCCTATGAGGTGCAGGAACGCGCCCTGATGATGAGTCCCATTCCATGACGAAACGGACGTCCAGTACTTCCAGGTTTGTAAGGGTGGTCTAACAATGATTGGTTGATTGATGATTTCAATGTGTAAATTAGTAATAGAGTTAATAACCGTAATAAAGAGCATGAACATATAGTACTCCATCTTATCGAATACTCTCGAACATTTCGAAAGAATGTTAACTGATCAAAGAATTTTCATCAATTTTTCTATCTTCTAAAAACTGTTTCAAGCAATGTTGACAGCTGACAACAATTCTGTCATTTAATCACATAATGAAGATAAACACACACACACCCATACACACCGAGCAAGTAGTTCATGAATAATATACTCAGTCTTCTCTCTAATAAATCGATCAATATGTACTTTGTGATAATCATTACCTTATATTGATGATTTATTCACTACCGTATATGTTTTATTCAATAATATAGATATGCGGATTCAAGAATGAAACAGTATAATAATATGAAAAAGTGGTTACCATCAGCTTTTCAGTTACCTGCTTTGTAATTTATTCTACCAAAAAACATTTCTATTATTTTGTAATAAGCTGATCTATACAGATTAAATAAAAAAGTGTAACTTTATTGTCTCTCTTATACACTTGATGAATCTAATAGTTGACATTACTTACTTACCAGAGAATTAGTTTTCCTGATTGGCGTTTTGTTTTTACCGAGTTGGATTTCTTTCCACTCCCTATGCCCCACCCACCTCCTGTCGAATGATCAAACTGATCATGTGAAAATGTGCTCACTAGTGACAAGCTTCATGAGGAAGTTTCATCGAGTTCTAGAGGGAAGTCATGAACATTAGAGTTCAACCATATCTCGTATAAAACAGTGCCCACCAAAGACAGTGGCTGGGGTCGCTCAAGACCATGGATTGATCGAAGTTAGATATCAACACCGTTGAATTCCAGCTTGGTGCTCTAGAATATCAAGCATTTGAGTGCAAAACCGAAGGTCCTTGGTTCGATTCCTGCAAGTAGCGGGAGTTGTGGGTACTCATTTTTGATGAGTCCCATTCTAAGACGAAATGGCTGTCCAGTGGTTCTAGGTTTCCAATGATGGTCTAACAATGATTTCAATGAAACTCAACAATCAATATAACTGTATAATGAAGATCATAAATTGATGATACGTGAATTTAGTTTAACATTTCATATATGTGTGTGAATGGGAAACAAATGAATGAAGAATAAAATATATTACGTTAGTTTGCACCATAGATTTATAGTATTTAAATAAAAAAGGATACATAGGATTTAATGAATGGTTATGTGGTCCAACATAGAATAGGACGCTTCCATCTCGCGTATCCTCAGCCTTATAAAAGATTGAACCGTGGATCATATGCACATATAAAAAGCTCTATATAATTAGATTTCAGCTTGTTTATTATGTTTCGAGGCGATTGTCGCTCTTTGACATCAATGATACCTACTGCATATCTGACAGAGTTGAATGCATTGTCCTCACTCCGCCAACGGTCATCATAGGAATCCATCATCTACTCCCAAAGTTACACACAAATAAGTAAGTGATTATTACTTTGTCTTGAGACGAGCCGTATAATGGTGTTGAAGTTGTACCTAGGATACTAGGCAAAGGTGACCAGTCGGTTGATAGTGTTACAAATGGTCATCGACAGAACTGGTTAGGATATGTGCTAAATCTACCGTAACATTATTTTCCTTCATGTATAATGTTTGCTGATGCAGAAGTAGGTTGGAGAAAGGCTAGAGGAGGTTCAAACTGAACTTACCTATATTCTATGAAGTCATTGAATTTTATCTCAAGCCATGTCCATAATTGTCCGTATGTATTGATATGAGAGAAGAATTGTCGTGGCATTTGACTGCTAATTGGTGTTCACGTAAACGAAGCTGAAGAGGCCGTCCACTTTGTCCTACCTAGTACAATTTATTTTTTAGATAATATTTGGTTTTTCTTCCTTTTTCGTTTCGTCCTTTGGTCTACATAGGATTGATTGAAGTGATTCTGTTGGTTTGTGCGCCACATCTATTCCAAATAATCTCAGTAGTCGTGCTGTACGTTTCAATATGTATTTTATGTATTGTAGGATGGTCCTAGGATCATACACTCGATTAGAAAGATGTTGAAATACTGGATTGGTTGAGCACAAACAACACTAGAGAATTTTGAGAAGCTTGGCACTCTGCAATCAGTAAACACATCGACATTGACCCAATTTATGAACAAATCAGAAAAATCATAGGCGACATGGGATCAAGAAACAGATCAAAAGTGGGATACAATCAAACCAAAGGTTCAAACATTGATAGATTTAAGGTTAACAGCAACCAATCAAGATCCAGGTTAACCGAACAAGCTACGGGTCAAACGTGGAGAAATTCGAATGCTTCACTTCTATCTGAAGTTTGTGCTGATGATGTTGTTCAGAAGAACAATGAAAGCTCCACAACCAAAACAACTAGCTCAGAGAACCAAACATCACCACCACAATCATCCACCTGAGCTACAAATTTTCTCCGCCATCTCAAACTTATGTATACTGAAGACTTCAACTCACTTATCTTAAAATTTATATAACAAAATCTCTATCCGTTCTCATTCTCACTATCAGTATTTACTTAATTTTTTCATAATGCCAGTTAGCGTAACAAAATATTTTGTGCACTTTTAATTAAACATAACAGTTAATAAATTTTTTTATCAATTGAATATCAGTCAATAAGGTCAGTTATGAATAATCATAAACATGATTTGAAAGCAAATAGAAAATTTTCTAATCCGCCAGTCAATCATTAGTTTCATTATATTATTTTATAGTTACATTCAAAACTTACTAACTTGCGCCTGTTACACCTAATGAAGCATAGGCCGCCCATCAGCATTCTCCGACCTACTCCGTCCTGGCCCTTCGTTTCCATTGTTCATTCTTCGCATGTCTACTTCCGATTCTCGGTGTGGTGTATTTTTTTGGTCTTTCACTTTTCCTTTGACCTCGAGGATTCCAAATTATGGTTTGACTTGTAATGCCATTGGATGATTTCCTCAGTGTGTATCCTATTCACCTCCACTGGTTTTTCCCTAATTTCTTCCTCTTCCGAAATCTGGCTTGTTTTCTTTCATCGTAGGTTGCTGCTGATGGTGTCTGAACAACGAATTCAGATTAACTTTTAGTAGAAAACTCCGTTTGTCTGTATCTTTTCAATGATGTCTGTAGTATTTCTCGAAGTTCAGCTGCATACAAGAAAATTGTCTGTACATTTGCATTGAAAATGCTAACTTCGGTGTTGGTTAATACTTGTTGTGAGTTTCAGATGTTGTTCAATTGTATGAATACTACTCTTACTTTAATAGTCCAATCCTCCTTCTTTATCCGGCCTTGGGACCGGCAGTAGCCCAAGCGGGGCTTCAGGCGGAGTTATCTGGGTTAGATGCTCCTTGTTTATCAATGATGTTGTCCAGATATGTATAAATTTCCATATATTCCAAAGTTTATCCATCAAATGTGAAGTTTAAGATCAACGCTTATTTCTTTTCGTATAAAAATATTGTAAATAATAATAATGAATATAATTCAAATATACGCAGGAAATTCTAACTCCCAATTAATGACCTATGTTTGATTATATTCCTTCAAAAATACTTTCATCAAAACAGTAATTAATTTAATCAGTGTAGAAAAGAATCATTTGTGGTGGTGTTTCGTTCTCTGACCTAGTTGTTTTGGTTGTGAAGCTTTCTTTGCTGTTCTTCTGAACAACATCATCAGCACAAACTTCAGATAGAAGTGAAGCATTCGAATTTCTCCACGTTTGACCTGTAGCTTGTTCTGCTAACCTAAATCTTGATTGGTTGCTGTTAACCTTAAATCTGTCATTGTTTGAACCTTTGGTTTGATTGTACCCCCCTTTCGATCTGTTTATTGATCCCATGTCGCCTATGATTCTTCTGATTTGTTCATAAATTGGGTGATTGTCGATGTGTTTACTGATTGCAGAGAGTCAAGCTTCTCAAAATTCTCTAGTGTTGTTTGTGCTCAACCAACCCAGTATTTCCACATTGTCCCAATCGAATGTATGTCCATAATTGTCGGTATGTATTGATATAAGCGAAGAGTTGTCGTGGCGTTTGATTGCTAATTGGTGTTCACGTAAACGAAGCTGGAGAGGCCGTCTACTTTGTCCTATGTAGTGTTTTTCACAATCTGAGCAATTTATTTTGTAGATGGTAACATAAGATCCAAATGGAACATTTTTAAAGATTTTTTAAATCATATACAATTTTATCTTATTGTGCAAACATAAAAATGTTTGATATAATGAGATATCGATAAATTTAATAATTCACACAATCGTTGCTAGACTTGAGCTAGAGCCTCCCTCTAGCACGGTTGAGGAATACGCCGGAACCCTGTTCTCTCTCTTGCGAGATCGAACTAGTCAGTCACTCTAATGATAGCTGATTACCATGGTCCTTGATGCTCACAAAAAATTGAAAGTGCTGCCTGATTTGTGTGCTTGGATATATAGATTGAGTTAGCTCCGGTTTATGCAGCTTGTGTGTAAGTGTTAGCAAAGGGTTCACTCATAGGCTCACAAAAATTGGAACGTAACCTGGAAAGTCTGTCCGGTATTAAAAAAAACTAGGCCAAATGCTAACAAAAGTAAAATCAAGTTTTAAAACAAGTCTGTGAATAAAAAAATCTGTGAGTAGCGAATATTTGGAAGAAGTGACCATCAATCCTCTCTTAAAGTACTTGTACTCATATGTCCGTTAAGAGATGCATTAGCGAAAGCTTATGTACCAGTAATATTCATGTAACGACTGGTAATAAACACTTTCATGGCGGCGGTGACCATCTGGATATATCTGTGTACACCAAGGAATGCATGGGTGAAAACACGTGCGTTCTCAGTAAGCATGTGAGGCATATCAGACCTCGTTTAAGTATACCTGTCTTTGTGCCGCGAGACGCATGAGGTAGAAACTCATGTTCTTCCGATGTGTAAGTAACGTACACTTACTTTTTGTGAGATGCCATTGGCTCAAAAATAAACGGGATTTCTTGGGTTTCTCAACATAAATGCATCTATACGGTGAGTTTCTGTGCCTAGAATAACGAATTATTTTCTAAAAGCGCTAGTAGGCCTACTCAAATAAGGCTCCACCGACATCTATGACTGGAAAGCCATATCCCACACAATGTATAATGTTATGATTTGAAGGTCAAATACAAAAGCTAATAGGTTATAGAGAGAGTAAAGTACTAATGAGCGAGAACAGTATTCATTGGAAAATGTGAGGTAATTCCTTAAAAAAGCAGTCAGACGGAGTATTTTTACACATTAATGAGGTTCATATTAATTTTCTAAAAACTCTAATAGCAACATTACTCCACCAAAACCCTATAATGTACTAACTATTTAAATTACTTTATAGCCCGATATTCACAATTTATCTCACGATTTAATTCATGCTTTCGTTCCTCCCTAACCTTGTATCCTAATAGCGGAA